ATCTGTGGCCCATGTTTGGAGAAAGGGGAAGGGGCCAGCCAGCCAGTACCGTAGAGTAAGGGCTTTCGAGTGTGACCCCTGGGGTAGGAGGAGTCAACTAATCCCACCTTATAGATTTGCTCCTCAGAGATGGCCCTTTGAGAGTGTTTGCTAACGCTGAAAATATGGGTTTGACCTCCAAGCCTAGAACTTGTCTGTAAGCCCTGGGGTACAATTTTAAAGGGATCGATGCTATTTTGCATGCAGAATTATGCATTGCATGGTGACACAGATCTCAGAACCAAGTGAAGTGCATGAAGGGTGCATATGGTCATGGATGGGCTCCCTGTCCAGCCCTGAGTACTGCAGTTAGGTCAGACACTCTGCTGAAACTCAGCCAGGGAACTCCTTCATTCTCTTCTGACTTCTCAGCTCCCCACTGAATAAAGCCTGAAACCAAAAATGGCTTGCACTTGGGATTTGGAAGGATTTGAGACTATTTACACCCATATAATGAGCTCTTGGAGGCATGGAACCCAAGTCAAAACATGAAATTCATTTATTTCTTATATACATAACCTGCAGAAAATTTTAAAGATTTACTTATTTTCAATTATGTGTTTGTGTGCAAGCATATACATGAGTACAATGCCTAAGGATGCCAGAGACATGTGATCCCCTGGAGCTGGAGTTAGCATAGAGTTGTGGGCCAACCCCCATCGGTACTGGGAATGGAATTTGGATCCTCTGAGAGTACAAAATGTACTCTTTTGTTTCTCTGGCTTTGTTTTGTTTTTTGAGACAGGGTTTCACTGTAGCTCTCAAGCCTGTCCTGGAACTAGCTCTTGTAGACCAGGCTGGCCTCGAACTCACAGGGATCTGCTTGCCTCTGCCTCCCTCCCGAGTGCTGGGATTAAAGGCGTTTGCCACCACCTCCTGGCCAGAATGTACTCTTAACAACAGAGCCATCTTTCCAGGCCCTGCAGTAATTTTGTATGATATTGTTGGTTCCTGCATTTTTGACCACAGCCTGTCACATAAAGTCGGGTGTGGGGTTTTCTATTTGTGGAGCCCTATTGGTCCCTAAATGACCTGTTATGTTGGATTTCAGATTTGGGGGTCGAGGATGAGCAGCTTATCTGAGAGACAATGAAATAATATTTTAAGATTTCAGTGAATTCCACCCCAGAACTGTTTCTTTCATTGGCATTCCAGGCCACATCCTGCTCCTCAGCTGTTATAAAGCAGCACACCCGGCAGCTGCATTTCTAATCCACATCTGTAAAACGGTAAACTCCCGGAAGCTATTTTAACTCCAGTCTTTGTACAAGAAACAATAATTTACTAAAATTCATATTGGTTCTAATTGCTTTCAAAATACGTGTTTGTATGCACATGCACATCCGTTGGTCATTTAATCTTCATTTGCTCTTAGGAGAATGAAGTAATTGTTGTAATAACTTTAAAGACAAGTCAACCCTTATCAATGCTTCCCAAGTACCTAGAAAACCTTGATAATCTTTGGACACACCGCTGCCAGGGAGAAAAGACCCAGAAAACCACTTTAATATTTATCAAAAAGTCATTTTGCTGGAGCTGGAGAGATGGGTGAGGCGGTAAAGTGCTTGCTGCCAAAGCGTAAGGTTCTGGTTTTGGATCCCAGCACCCATATAAAGCACTGGGCAGGTCTTATTAGACAGGTGTCTCCTGGCCAGCTGCACGTCTCACAAACAGGTAAAATAGTAAATGTATCTGCAATCCCCATGCTGGGGAGACAAAGGACCCCTGGGGCTTGCTGGCCAGCCAGGCTAGCTGATGGGTGAGCTGGCCAATGAAAGACCCTATCTCAAAACATAAGATGGAGAATGATAAAGACACCCAACACTGACTGCTAGACCACACACACACACACACACACACGAATGTATACAGAAGAAAAAATTGTTTTGTCTGATTTTCACTTATTTTAGAATCTCAGAAATCTCTCTTGGATTCTTCCCAGAAACAAGACTACCTGAGGAAAATTCTAGAAGACCTCAGTACAGCTTGGACAGTGAGTTATGAATATACGATTAGCTACAGTTCAAAGAAGAAACTTTGATCTGGAAGCCGTGATCCTCAAGGGCAATCTTGATATCAGTCAGTAAGATGTAAGCTCAGAACTGAAAGCCACTCCCAGCTACCAGGGGACACTATTTACTGTCCCACCATATACAGACCTGTCTGTGGGTAGAAAGGCCACCCACCCTTTGGGTTTTGCATCAAGTTTTGATTGACTTAAAAAAATACTCAGCCTCCATTTTGCTCATAATAAGACACTGAAAGGGAGAGAAAGATAAACAAGATCAGCTTCATCTATGTGCAAAATAAAAGAATCTAAGTAAGGAAAAAGATAAGAAGGACCAATAAGGGGCTAGGGAGAAGGCTCAAGGTTTAAGAGCAGGTGCTACTCTTGCAGAGGACCTGGTGTCTTAGGGTTTCTATTACTATGAAGAGACACCATGACCTTGGCAACTCTTATAAGCAACACAGTCACACACCTCCCTAATAGTGCCACTCCCTATGGGACAAGCAGTCAAACACTAGGCTCTATGGGGGCCATACCTATTTAAACCACCACACCTGGGGTCAGTTTCCAGCACCCACATTACTCTAGGTGATCTGATGCCCTCTGACCTCTGTGGGCTAGAATGCATGTGGTACACTTAAACTCCCCTCCCCTCCGACACACACACACAAATAAATAAAAATGAGCAAATCAGTCTTTCTTTTAAAGATTCAAAAAGCCAGCCCATATGTGATTAATAGTGGTCTAAGAAGGAGTAAGAACAAGAGCTTCGGTTAGAGCAGTGGTTCTCAACCTTCCTAATGCCACAACCCTTTAATACAGTTTCTCATGTTGTGGTGACCCCCAAACATAACATTATTTTTCTTGCTACTTCATAGCTATAATTTTGCTGTGAAAGGGTCATCCAATCCTCCAACCCTCCCAAAGGGGGTGTGATCCACAGATTGAGAGCTGCTGGGCTAGGGAGACAGCTCAGTAGGAAAGAACATTTGCAATGCAAGCCTGAGAATACCTGGGGCTGGCTGGCCAGCTAGCCCAATTGAAAAACTGCTATCTCCAGGCTCGGTGTATGAACAGGCACCCAAATACGCACATACCAGAGGTTGGGGGGCATCCAGACCATGACCAAAGTCAGCGAGCACCTCCACTGCAGCGAATGCTCTGCTCCTGCTAGCTAAACACTGACCAAAGCCACCCTCAGCTTTTGTGGACTCGCCCATTCACAGCCTGACCGCCTCATTAATCAGAGCTAGGTGCAGGCTCAATGAGCTGAGGCACAGCAGAAAACAGAGCTACAGCTGAGAGGTGTGCCCGAAGGCCAGCTGTACCTGCCCTCATCCCCTCCTCCCTGAAGCAGTCAGTGACATTCCTGGACTCAGACGGGAGATGGAGATGGAGCTGGAGCTGTGGGGAAGATGGGGGTGGGCAGACAAACAAAGAGAGGCCTTCCTCCCATGCTCAGCACCTGCCTCCCCGTTGTTACACAAAGCTGAGGTGTTAAGCGCTCACACAGGAGGCTCTGGGTGACGTTAACTTGCCTCCCATTTACCACCAGCTAAATCCCACTTTAATTAGCCTGCCTCTTAATTGAAATAAGTGATTCACCAAAGAGGGCCAAGGAGCCCCCCACTTTCAGGAGAGTAAGCTACCTGTAAGGCCTGCCTGTTTGCTTTCCTATTAAATATTCAAGGATGGATTTATAGGCCTTAAGCAGTGGTTTCCCCTAGGGATGTGCATACAAAAACGAAGCCCTTTCCACATGGGAAATGTGGCTCTCGCCAGCCCAGTGGCAGCTGCCATTATACGCTTTCAAAGCAACATTAAGGTATGTCCTTCATAGATTTAGACAGGAGTGATAGTGTTTCTATTTAATCATCGACTGGAGACAAAAGCACACGGCACCAACTTCAGCAGCAGAAGTGTGCATTAAATTACTTCCAAAACTCCCCGAAGAATAAGACTTGCGGGTTTGGGATCGCATGACAATTAAGGAATAATGAGCGAGAACTCTGGGCCGTTTGATCAAATAATGCATTAATCCTAACACACGCTGCGTGTGTCCCTTATCTGCTCTCCGAGTATGTTGACTTTTTCTGGTAATTTTGATTTCTCCTTCCCCAGAAACACAGACACAGGTACAGAGAAAAGGACCGGGCATGTATCAGTATAAGAAAATGGAAGTGGGGACGCCTGGAGAAGCCCCGATAAGGGCTCAGCTCCTCAAGGCAAAGAGGAAACTTCCAGGTGCTTCTAATGAAGGGGCACTCTCTCTCAAAGTTCAGCCCTTTCACAATGCATTTTCTGAAGATAACCTGCACCCTAAATCCACGAGGCCACCCCAAATTCACTGAAGCTGCTACCTTGAGTAGCGCTGGCGTGGGATACTTAAGACTAGAGATCACTAAAAACTTAGCGGTACATCCAGGCCCTCTGGGGAGGTTTCTGAGAGTAAGTTTTCCAGGCTCTTTAGAAGTATTTTTTATATACCTAGCATGCCATTAATCACTCTTATCTGTTCATTAAAGCTGTCTCCCTCGGGACCTCAGCTCGCCAATTCCTTCCAAGCTTGATTCTTTTTTATCTATACACCCTAAGAGGGGTCCGTTTCCTTTAAGAATATTTTGTCATTAAAACACTTCATCAGTTCTTATGGCTGTGCTCCACCAGTTAGTCAGAAGTCGTGGGGTTTTATTAAGTACACAGAAGCGCCAGTCCTAGAAGGGGGGTGTGGCAGGATAAAAGCACAATGAGAAAGCATGGTGTAGGGACGTGCTCTCACGAGTGAGAGATTCCGGGACCACGGCCCACCCGTGACCACAATGCCTGTTGCCTCCTCTCATCCCTCACCAAAATTGGAGTGCAATTTAAATTTACACAGGGGTACAACTGATCTACAGATGGGAGAGAAATCAGACACTGTAACATTGAAAAGCAACCTGTACGCAGACCGTACCTCTGCCTGGGACTCTCTCAGAACCACATTGGGGCTTCTGCTGGCTCCGAGGTCCATCCATCCCAGCACAGCTGGCAGGGAGACCCCAAGCAGGGCGAGATGTGGCCAGAAGCCTCCTGGTTTCATTTTGTCCAGCCTGTTGGGAAAATAACAAAGGTTCAGCAGGGAAGCAGTCGGAAGTCACAGCAGTCACAGGGGAGGTGATGGACATACAGAGTCAAGTTAACCTTGGTTTGTAAAGTGCTTACCATGCAAACATGGGGACTGAGTGTTAGCCCCAGGACCCCCATAAAAAGCTGAGAATGACAGTCTGGATCTCTAATCCCAGGGCTGGAGAGGAAGAGAAAGGCAGATCCTAGAGACTCACTGGCCAGCCAGCACCACCTAATCGGTGAGCTGTGGGTCAGTGAGAAAAACACTTTCTCACAAAAACCAAGATGGATGGTTGGTAAGGAACCACAGTCAAGGTTGAATTCTGGCTCCCATATGCACACGCAACCACACACGTGGACAACAGTGACCACACACACACACACAAAGAATCATATTAATTTAAGCATAAAATACAGTACAAACCCTTCTGTTTTACTTGGGAGAAGTAGCATTATTTCTGGGCCTCAGTACACTGTCTCTAAATGGACACGGTATTACAGACCTCATGGGGAGTGCTCTGAGAACTGAATTAGTTGGTGTCATGCACATAGCAGAACTCTACAAATGTAAGCCATTAGTGTCCCACCTGGACTGCCACCAACCGCCACATCTACAAGGACAACCAGAATGAGTCAGCCGAGTCACAGCTATTGGGCACATACATGCCTCACTTTCCTGAGAAATCATTTGGAGCTTGGCACATAAGCTTAGGAAAAGCCTGATGACCTAAGTCTGACCCCCTAAAGCTGACTCCTGCAAGTCGTCTTCCATGGCACACATATCTCCACATATACACATACTAAATAAGCAAACAGGGTTAGAGAAATGTTGATGAGGAATAATATTAAGGGTGTAGCAACTGCTCTGTATCTTACACCTCCGTTTACAAAATGATGAGCTTCAAAATAGCATAAGGTCTAGAGTAGTTTAGTTTTTACAGCAGAATCTGAGCAGCCAATGCTAATTAAACCCCAATAACCTGGAAGTTGTTTCCCCGACACTCTCCTGGTAACATTAGTATCTAAAGTCCTAGAATGAAACAAAGGGACAATTCAAGGTAACCAAAGATATAGGACCCTCACAGATGAGACACTGGGACTTGGGCATTATGGTTGAGAAACCTCGTGTGTTCTCTGCTGCTGGTGGCACACACCTTTAATCCCAGCGCTCAGGAAGCAGAGGAAGGTGGAGCTCTGGAGTTCTAGGCCAATCTAGTCTACAGAGGAGTTCCAGGACAGCCAGAGCAGTTACACAGAGAAACCCTGTTGCAATAAAGAGAGAGAGAGAGAGAGAGAGAAAGAGAAACTTCATGTGCTAAGGTATTGAGCTGATGGAGTGAGGATAGGCTGCTCCAGGTGTCTTAGTGGCTGCATGTTTTAAAAATTTTATTAGGGTGGCGTGTGTCTGTGTGTCTGTGTGTGTGTTTGTGTCTCTGTGTGTCTGTGTCTCTGTGTGTCTGTGTCTCTGTGTGTTTGTGTGTGTGTGTTTGCATGTGTTTGTGTATGTGTCTCTGTGTCTGTTTGTGTATCTGTGTGTGTCTGTGTATGATTGTGTGTGTGTGTGTGTTTGTGCTGTGGGGGATATGCTGGAGGTCAGAGGACAACTTGTCAGAGTCATTTCTGTCCCTTTCCCACGTGGATCCACATGGATCAGGTCACCAAGCTTGGTGACAGGTGCTGAGCCATCTTGCTGGCCCAACTGCTTACTTTTTAAATAAAGTTTCCTCTGTAAGTATATGTTAGCCATAATTTCGATGGTATTTAATTACAGGCTCTCCATGCCATACCGTGACCTTGCCCAGAGAAGGAGACATGTAGCACTCTTTAGAGGCCAGCACCCCAAAAGACCTGGCCTGGGGACTAGGCTACAGCCCTCATCTGATTAAAAAACTTGGGGGCTTGAGATACCTTGTAGCTTGAAGAGTCCCATCCCTATACTCAAATCAACAGCCTTGGATAACTTCTGACTCTGGACCTCAGCCTTTTCAACTGGGGATCACAACTTCAGAGGGTACAGTTTCTCCTGTGGGGGTTGTTACAAACTGGACAATAGTAAAATATAGTAAACAGTAAAATACAGAACAATTAATTAGAAAGCAAACGCACAACGAATCCACAGGGCTCTGGCAATGCTCATCTGACCAGCTCATGGCAGCCTTGGCTCCAAGCACACCAGGTTTTGTCTCACACATGCCATGTGACCAAACACACTACCACCAAATGCTGCCTGGAACACCAGGGCTCAGGGCCAAGGCTACTGCATACTCTGAACCACAGGTTTCACTGAGCAAAGTTTTCTCGCTCTTATGGAAACATAATGGTTTGATTATAGAAGACAAAGTCTTTTAATATTTTCCTACTGTCATTCCTCAGCATGTAAGTATCAAATGAGTATATATATTTGGATGGCATTGTGTAAAAATGTTTGATTTTTAAAATTGCTATTTGAGTTACTGGCTGGAATTCCATAAAACTTGTTAAATGAATTTTGGCTCAGGAGCAGGACAGAATTTCCAACCGTTTCTGAAATGGTCCTCAACACCCTTCTGCCATTTTGTACTGTGTATTTAAGTGACACAGTGTTCAATACTGACAATTATAAAATCAAAATATTAATCAGCTCCGAGAAGCACCAAAGATGCTCTTCCTCCCGCAGTATCAAACGTATGCCAAAATTTAATTCCTTATGCACATCATCTCATGAACATGCAATTTTACTTTCATCTTTAACGAATGGTAAAAGTACATACATACTAAAGAATTGTTTTAAAATACATTTCTTGGGGGCTGGAGACATGGTTCAGTGGTTAAGAGAACATACTGCTCTAAACTGCACTTGCAGAGGACCCAAGTTTGATTCCCAGTATCCATGTCAGCCTACTCAAGCTCCAGAGGGTCTAATGCCTCTAGCCTGCAATGGGGTGGGAGGTACTTCCTCTCTAGTACACACACACACACAAAATCAATCAATAAATTTTATTTATTTATTTAGTTAGGTTTTTTGAGACAGGATTTCTCTGTAGCTTTGGGGTCTAAGTAAAAGTCAGTCGGATGGTAGCGGTGCACGCTTTTAATTCCAGCCCTTGGCAGACAGAGGCAGACAGATATCTGTGAGTTCAAGGCCAGGCTGTTCTACAAATCAAGTTCCAGGACAGCCAGGGTTTGAAACACTGTCTCAAAAGGCAAAAGCAAAACAAAACAAGTAGAAGTCTTTAAGATTTATCATCAGTAAATATCTGATTTGTAATCTAATTTATATAAGAGGCGAAAAGGGATCAGGAACAGTTTGAGAATCTGACCTAGACAAGGGACAAAGGCTGTCACTAGTGCTATGGCCATGGTCACCAAACAGACCCACTTGTACTGTGTTCCAGGTTCCTCTGGCTGCCTCCCCATGTGTGAGACAATAAATGCCTACTGAGAAGAAAGGACAAACTTGGGACACCACACTCTGGCTTATGAGATGACAAGGTAACCAGGGATAGCTATCTTTCAGAAAGACCTCCAGAGACCCCATTTCTCCCTCCCTCCTTTCCTCCCTCCCTCCTTTCCTCTCTCCCTCCCTCCCTCCCTCCCTTCTTTCCTTCCTTTCTTCCTCCCATCTTTATGAAAGGGTTTCTCTGTGAAGTCCTGGCTGTCCTGGAATTCACTCTGTAAACCAAGCTGGCCTTGAACTCACAGAGATCCGCCTGCCTCTGCCTAACAAGTGCTGAAATTAAAGGCGTGTGACACTACTGTCCAGCTCATTTCTCTATTTCTTTAGCCATGTTTTTGACATCTGTCAGCAAAGCTGAGCTACTGAGAAAGCAGTCCAGGTGGCCAGTAGCTGTCACTGGAATGTCACCGTCTCTATACCTGATGAGAACTTTGCACAGTGTGGCTTCAGCTGTTAGCTTGAGGCCTGTGACACCAACCTGCAGCTCCTTACCCTATACAAAGGACAGACAGATCTCAGAGGAATGAGATGGTGGAAGGAAAAGAATCCCCACATGTGGGGCAACAATAGAATATTTCCCATACTCCAACCATTTTGTTTCTTCAAAAATAACGGCAACTCCAAATTCTTCATGAATTATCCTCTTTGAACTTGGAGCCACACTGCAGAGACTGCAGATGGCAGCTACCGGACTTTTGCATATTTTAAGAGCTAACTATAGTACTTCAAGCTAGACTGAGAAAGACTATGCTCTCTATTCTTTTAAAAATTTGCCTGTACTTAGTCCTCTTACAGATACTGCTTGTGAGGTAAGTGCCTGCATTCAAAGGTCTACTTACCTCCTCTATCAGGCCTCCTTGCCCATACCCACTAAAAACAGAGATAATCAAAATCTGTCTTTCTCAATGTACAGATGTCAGTCAAATCCTGGAATTATGAAATATGCAAGCCACAAATTCTAATGCCTTACTTTCAATTTGGTTAGTAATCTAAGACCAATTAGTAATTAAAAAACACCAATGGTGTTTTATTATTAATGGATAGTATCAAAATAAAATCTATTCATTTCAATTATTGTCTTGGCAAGTATGATGTAGCATCATTTAAGAGGCGGGTCCTGAGGGTGAGCATTAAGCCGGCTGGATTCTGAGACCCCAGCCCCAGCCTCGGGAGCTGGAGCTGATACTGATCTTTATTCAGCTTGCATTGAGGTTCCCTATTAAGACCTTACTTGAAGACAGGGAGACGTGTGAGCCAGATCAACTGCTGAAATAGCCTACACAGCTTCTTTATAAAATGCAGCTCAGTTTGGCCACCACTAGCTGATTTCATTTACACTGTGGATGTGTCTTGGATGTCATTTTATACAAAGGGTGACTGACAATTCATTGCATCTAGAACAGCAACAGCCTAAAAAATTTCAGCTTGAGTTTTATGACAACTCAGTCAATAAAAAAGAAGAATTAATATTGGGTCTAAATCAATTTTGATGATCTGTCTAATAACCAAATAGAGAGTCTCTATTTGGTTAACACTCACCTAGCAATTACCATGTGTCAGGTACTATTCTAACTGCTTCACAGGCATTCAATCATAACCCTCATCATACTCCCTACGGAAGGCAATGACTATCCTTCCTCTCCATCTCCTGACAGAGACAACAGGGTCACAGGGAGGGTAAGTGCCCTGTCAAAGCTACGTGGCATGTAAGTCAGCAGGTGGGCAGTTCTGTTACATCCTGTCCCTCAATGCCTCTCCACCCTTGGCAATTTTTAATCTTGGTAGGCAGCTCTTTTTTATATGGCAGAGTCAATCTATACACAGCAAACTGGGAGTCCCTTCTTGCTCCAAAAGCTGCCCAGAGCCAGCTTCCTTTGCTTGTCAGGGCTCTGACCATGGTCAAAGATTCAGAGTAAGGGGAAAGAGCCAAGCTGTCACTCTTCTGTATCTGATCCCAGAGTGGGTACAACTGTGCACACTCTCCAAGAAAAATCACACAGAATTCTAGGAGGCAGGGATGCTCCTCCAACTCCAGGGAGCACAAGTCACTTTGAGGACATCAATCTGTTACTGAACTCATTGCAACTCCAATATAAATAGCCTTGCCAGCCTTTAGCAAGAGTTCCTCCACTACAGATCTGGGAATCAGCTATTCACAAGGCTGCAGATTCTCTTTACCAGCCTAGACCTCCTTCTAGACTACACTTCATTTATTGTATCTTTCCTCCAGTCCTGGATAGACCCCAAGCACTGGTTCTAACTCCACTAGGATAGAGTCCCTGAGACAGCGTCTTTGTCCAAACAACTCAGGGCATCAATCACTTAGCAGATAAAACATCTTCATTTGAAGAGAGGCACTCCAGTGTTTCCTCTGGTCCCCACCTGGTGCTCAACATTGTCCCACAACCAGGAGACCTAGGTACTAGCCTGCCTGGTGTAGCTGTAGTTAAGTCACAGAAGGTTTGGAACCAAGGCCCTGCCCAGACCTAGACTCAGGCCAGCATCCCACCGCCTGTACACCCCCCTGTGTTCTCTCGCTACTACAGACTTATAGCGTAATGCACTCAGGTTTGCGTGTTCTTGCAGGTTGTGTTTGTGGTTGTCAGTGTTGTAGCCTCTCTGTGCAAACCACAGGACTTCCTGATGTAAAACAGGCTTGTGTCTGCGCTATCTTTCTGTGTTCAAAATTACAGAGCTATGACAAATTAGTGTGATGTAACATTCCAAATACCAAGTTGCTTTTTCAAGAAAGTTGGAAAAACTGTGACTAAAAACTAAAGTTATTAGGGAAGGACTAAAACTAATATGAACTCATGTTTGAAAAACAAGATCTGCCCCACCCAGAGACCACAAACCAACATGTATGCTGTATGTACTGTGCAGGACCCGTGACCAGAGTCTTCTGCAGGCGATGGGCTTAAGATAAGTCTTGTCTGTTCCTGTAACCAACCCTATCAGGATGAGCAGGAATGCTGGCCACCGGAGACAATGCTCACCAGCTCTCTTTCTCTCTTGACCTTTTTTCCCCGAACACGGGAACCATACCAGGCCAGTTGCCATAGATTAGTCACACAAATGGCTTAGAAATCACAAAGATGACTCGGTAGAGCCTCAAAGAGAGCAATGAGGTCCCTGGAGGCACCTGCATTGCCAAATATTTGCTTGATACCTGCATCGGACTTTATTTTACACCATGTTCTGCTGATAGTCAATGAAGAGAAATCCAACGGGGAGCACCCCAGAGCCCTGTTGTCCTCCCAAATGTGGAGAGGGGGCACACACCAAACCCAACCTGAAACCAGGGACTACTCAATTTCTGCTGAGAGGTTTAGGACTCTAGTTTTGATCTGTGTGTTTTAGCAATTCAAATTGCCCAAAATTGCCCCTAAAACATCAACCTGGAGAAGATAAGCCTGTAACTTTAGCAGGTTAACACCATAATTAAATGGAATTGCATTTTCTTTTGAAGTTTTTAATACATTGGTTTATTTGCCTATCTATTTATTTATTGTGTGTGTATAAGTCAGTGAGGTGGCAGGAATCCATTCTTTCCTTCTATACGTGGATCTTAGGGCTCAGACTCAGCTACCAGGCCTGACAGCAAATGCCTTTACCCTCTGAGGCCTCTAACCAGGCCTGAACTGTATTTTCTATTAACTATGCACTCTATATATTTTCCAACAATGGATGAATTGGCTGCCTAAATTATTCCAGGTGCAATGCATCAACTGATGACATTCATCTTGGAATGGAAGTTTGTACATTCACCCTATCCTTCTGACCTTCGGGTAATATTGTATTAATACGTTCTTTTAGTTGTGGTTTTTCCATTATATTTGATGTCCCACACCTTAGTGTTATGTATTAAGAGGTAAAACATCTCAGGAGAGATAATCTCCTGAAATATCTAATTTTATTAAGTTTGGAAGAACAACAATAACTACATATAAGCTACACAAGAAGGTGGGACCTGCAGAGAAAAAGATACCTCCGGAGATCCGGCTGCCATTAAGGGCAGGCTTGGGGAATCTTTACCTCTCAGTGGTGGTCCTTGGGAAAGTCTATTAAGTCAAACAGAAGATCTGCACACGAGGCCACAGTAAATAAATAGATTCTACAAGTCCCCAGCAGAAGAAAGCATGGGGAGTGACCTAGTCCCAAGGCAACAAGCTGGTCCCTCTCTGCGAGGAAGAACTAAAAGTCTTTCTGGAATTAACAAAAGTTGGTGACCTAAAAGTTCTAAGAGGAAAATAAAAGCCCCCGGGACAACATAATTAGGAATGCTACCACGTCCAGAGGACCCTTTCCTTTCTGTTCAAGCTGAATCCGGAAGTGACTAAGTTCTGCAAGGCCTAAGGGTTCGAGGGTTGGACAGAGAGTTGTTGGAGCTCTCATACCACACAAGCCCTACTTACTCCCTTGCCCATTTGCTTTCTACACTAGACAGAGCCTGTCCTCAGAATCAGAGGGACTAGAACGATGCTGGCCAGTACCAAGGATGAGAATAGATTGTTAAAAATGACTCTTGTTTCACCAAAGGCTGGTGGGTAGGAAAATAACTTGGAGGCTTTCTGGGAAAAGTCCCGATGTCTTCTTCATGACCCCATTTTTTTCCCTTAAAAAAATGGCAAGGAGTGTTGCTGTGCGTGGTTTTGTCTAGCAGTTACCCCATTTCTGTGTTAGGCGCATAAAAGGGGGATGGATTTGGGTACCTCACGGATAGGGGGTATCTAGAACAATTCTTGGCGCACAGGCTTGCCACAGATTTACTAAGACAACAGACTAAGCTCCTGCCGCTGTTTTTCACTCAAGGAAACCTCGGTAGAAGCGACACCTAGAGGGAAGCGGAGGGGAGACTACTGAAGCGCTATTCATCAGTGTCAAGGGCCGGCTATCTGGAGGGAGGGAAGTCCTCTGGGCAGTGCAAGGTGGACCAGTTCTGGGAGCAAATACAGACCTAGCGGGCTCCCAGGGAATTCTGAGTAGACCAAAGCACAGCACAGGTGCTCGCCAAATTAGGGAATCACAAGCTCTACAGACTGCTCGCTGTCAATTTCTGCCCTTGCAAGAGTTTCACGACACGAAGTCCTCAGGTGGTAGGCATGGGAGAAGCCAAGTGGGAAGCGGCTTCGTCAGCTGCAGGGAATGCTCAAAGCTGCAGTGGTACCCAAACTCTAGACGATGTGCGCCCCAAGAGCAGCACTCTGCTTGCGGTCCCCAGGTCCCCCCTGAAACTTGGGAATGCTCCCTCTTCTTTTACCGGGGCTAAGGGGGGAAGGGGAGGCGAGACCACTCAGCACAATCGCTCTCAGCACCAAGACCCCAACCTGAATGTCCTCGGGACAAACCGCTCCCTGGAGACTTCCCAGTGGGTTCCAGCAGCCCTTTACTGGCAACAACTGTGGCCTCGCAGAATTAAAGACATGGGGTCTCCCGAGCAGGTTTCTGCCCGGATGTCCTCAGCGAGCTCCCTACACCGGGACTGTGGTGGAAAACGAGGGCCAGGAGAGGCGCAGCTCATCTTTTGGCTGCGACAAGGGGACGCAAGTTTCCCCGCAAAGCGGAGGGGAAGGAGGTGCAGAGGATGACCGCCCCGCACTCTAGATCCGAGGCAAGGGCACGAGTCCGAGCCAGGGTCTGTAGCTCGCCAAGGTACGAGAGAGGCCATTCGGGGTTCAGAGCCTAAGAGCGGCGCCCGCAGGGTGTCGGTGCGGATCGCGAGCTTGGGCTCAGCGGGAGCGGTACTGCGTGGCGCCCCGCGCGCCTATAAGAATCGCTCCGTTCCCCACGGCTGATGTCCGGGTGTCAAGCCGCAGATGCCCCAGCTTTAGCCTCCAGTCCTAGCGCATCCAGGGTGGCCCTGCCGAGTCCCGGCCCTGCGGTCCCGTGCCCGCGGCCAGACGCGCAAACTTGGCTTTTCAGGCGTGGGCAATGAGGACCAACGAACGCCCGCACCGGGCCCTGCAGCGAGCTGCGGAGCTGCGGGCATCGGGACCTCGGCTGGCAGCAGCAGGACGGGCTGGCGGCAGTGGCACGACTCGGACACCCGCATCTGCTCCAGAGCTGCGCCCCGCTTACCTGCGGCGGCCGGGGCCGTGAGGAAGACCAGGTGGCCGGACTCAGGTGGAAGGGAGGGAGCGCCCCGTGGCGGCGACAGCGGCAGCGACCCGGCCCCCGCGTTCTCCGCTGGGTCGTCTCCGTCTGTCGGCTGGTGTACCCCGGCGTGCTAGAGACAGTCCAAGCTCCAGCTCTCGGAGCCTCCGCCGCCCGCCGCTGTGCCACCGCTGCCGCGGCTGCCCTATTTCTGCCGCCGGGACTGGAGCCCGTGACGTCACCCTCCGGGCCCCGCCTGCCCAATCGCCGCCACCTGTGCTCGCTGCCCGCCCGCCCGCCTGCCGGTCAGAACCCGCGGCAGGTGTGGAGCAGCCCGGCGCGCACGCGGGGCGCGAGGATTCCCTGCGCCCCGCACCACCTGGGCAGGGCGGCTCTCTTTCCCCTGGCTCCCGAGATCTCAGCAGGTGATAGCCCCCTGCCTCCTTTTTCCTCCTCATCCCTCCTCTCCTCCAAGCTCCTTTTCCGGCCAGCCTCCCACAAGGTTGTGCTTTGCTCAAAGCGCAGAATTGTTCTCAATCAGCGGCCATTGCTCGTGAAGCCCTAGCGGGTCGGTACACTGCACCAGAGAGCTGTCCCTGGAGCAAAATTCTGGGGACACTCCTCCCTGCGTTGAGAAACAACTACCTGTAAAAGAGCAAAGTTTTCGTTACTCCCAACTGTAGGCTCCTAAAAATTCCCAGGTGACATTTGTCAAGCTAGACCCATTGCCAAGCAGGGAGCGTGTCTTGTTCCTAAAACAAGATCATTTTCCCCTCTCCCGATCCCGAGACAGCGCGGCTTCCTGGCTTTTCCAACTCTCTCTTCAACCTCCACAGCTTTTGCTATGTGCTCAGATAAGTTGCAAAAAATCCACCTTTGTCACGCTCGATCTAACCTCACAGTTGAGAAAGCAGCACCTGGCAACTAGGCAGGGGTGGCCGGAGCCTCTTCAGGACCTGCCTCCTGCTGCTGGGTTGTAGGGATGCCCAGTGGCTTTTTGACTTAGGAATACAGTGTCCTGCCCCATGCCTTGCGATCTCTCCTGATTTGCAGGAGGGTGCAAAGGGGCTTTTCTGGAGACAAGGTTAGTTAGATATAAAAGGAAGTGGGGAAAATACTAACGGGCTGGTGGAGTCTTTCCTTTCACTGAGTACAAGCCACTGGACTGGTTGCTGGAGTTACGGAGGTGAGTGAGCCAACTAGTCTTTCTTGCTCAGGTTTTCTGGTCTGGTATTTAGCCCTCCTTCTACCACTGTTCAGCGAGTGGTGCAACTCAGACCCGGTTATAACTGCTTCCCAGCTGCAAAACGAGGAGACTTCCAGGTCTTAAGCAGCTGTGACTTGGCCTGTGAACGCCAAGATTTGCATTCAGATACATATATATAAAAAAAAAAAGCAACGTGTTCTCCTTGCCCTGGGGCTGTGGCCAGCAGCAGGCTCTCTGCTATTTGACCCGATTTTCTGCCAAGGCCATCCATGAATGAATCCCTGAGGGTGGTGGGAGACTGGATTCTCTGAGTAAATCTGGAAATCTAGAAGGTGTAGATTCCATTTTTAGAAAAAGAAAGGCGTGGACCTAACAGGTAGCAGGGAAGTGATGTTACGCCCCCGTCTGGACTTGCACTCTAAGTCCACAGACAAGGTTAAACCGCACAGTTCTCCAAGTTGAAGTGGGGAGAAATGCAGATTCCCCTTCTAAGCATCAAGCCGCCGAGGGAACTGGACAGTATCCCAGCCAGAACTTGGGCGCTTTGCTTTTGTCTGTTTTTTAATAACTAGCGGTCATGTATAAGTCAAGGCCAGCAGACTGTAGACTAGAAATAGTGATACTTAATGTTCTGAACAACACCGGGCTTCATCATGCTTCCCGAGGAAGCGGGGGAATGAACCTGCTGTAAAGCAGGTGCGCTGAGCGAGCGCTCTCTGAGACCTGGCGCTGACCTCCACGGTGAGTCATTGTGACCCGGAAACCCAGAGTGGGATGAGGAGTCACCTTGGAATGAAAGAGTGAAGTGTGAAGAATGAAGTCAGACAGGCCTCCAGGAGGCAGCATCACACGCCACACTTTGACACCTCTTCCAATTGCTCTGGGCTTTCATCTTCCAGCATAATTCTTGGTTTACTAGCACACCCCAAATTGGGAACTAGGCTAGGTTTCCCACAGAGAGTTTCAGAATCAGCCTGCATCCTTGTTTCAGAACTTGCACACATACTGCTTCTCACTAGCTAACTAGGGTGCTTGGGAAAGTTATGTTTTGTTGTCTTTTAAGGTAAAATTTGAATTCCATACAATAAAGTAAGTTTGGAGTGGAAGGGCTCTGGACACAAATTTTATTCCTGCCCTAGCCCTCCACCTTAGTCGTTGGTGAACATTTCAGCTATACAGATTCAGAAACACAGAAGAAAGTGGTTAATATACTCCTCTACAGATCAGGAAGTCTAAACATTCCTTGTTTTGTTATGCTTTGAGACCGGTTCTCACTATGTAGCCCAAGCTAACAGTGACTTAAAAAAAACTTTACCAGTATTTTTTAAAGATTTGTTTTTCATTATGCATATTTGGGGGTGGGGGGGTCCACGTGTGTGTAGGTACCCAAGGAAGCCAGAAGAGGGCATCAGGTCCCCTGTGAGCTAGAGTTACAGGTGGTCGTGAGCCACCAGGCATGGTTCCCAGAAATCAAACTCTGCAAGAGAGGTCCTGGTTCCTCTCCGCTGAGCCGTCTCTGCAGTTGGCACTGTGCTTTTAAGACTCTCCCCTCCTCCTCTTTCCAGGTTGTATACATTGCCTTTAGTTTCATTCCAATTCCACAGAGACTATGGCACACCCCATTTCCTCCAGACCAGTCCCACACTGTCCCCATCAGTCGCTATGGGTGAGGTAGCCAGTCTGGGAAGCCATGTGACAAGGCAGAAAACAGAAGCAACCTCCTTCCTTGTCTCTCATGATCAACCTTCTGCAGCCTGCTATCCTCCAATGTCTTTTCTTCTGTGCTGCACTTGGACTTGGTGGGCCAAATACACCACATCCGTTCAGAATTCTGCTTTTTCCTCTCTCGTGTCAAAGCTAGGGGTGGGTGGAGTGGAAGACAGACATAGGAAATGAATTTCCTTTTAAATTTTTGTTTATTTTTATGTGTATGGGTATATTGTCTTCATGTATGTCTGTACACCATGTGTGTGCAGTGCCCATGGAGGCCTGAAGAGGGCGTTTATCCTCTGGAACTGGAGTTGTGATTGTGAGCCACCATGTGGGTGCTGAGAATTGAACCCAGGTCCTCTGGAAGAGCAGTCAGTGCTCTTAACCGCTGAGCCATCTCTCCAGCCCTAGAAATGAAGTTCCAAGACTACTTTCTATCCAAAATTCCCATCTTCACCACATTAGTTGTTATGTCTCAAACTCAGGACAAATGGCTAACCCGGTGCCTATTTAACATAGCAAAGTATGTGCTGGCTGATAGGTTCTCGGCGAGCCCATGGAGCCATGTCTCCAGCCCCAGATAATTGTTTTAAGCTTCGTTTTAAGCAGAAGAGAGACAAAAAGATAAGTATGAGACTGAGTCTGGAGATAACTGATCGAGGGATTTCGAGGCTAATGAAGAAGCAGTTGGGTAAAGGAGGAATTTCATTCAGAAGTTAGGATGAATGAGAAGATGTGACGATGGAAAGGGCATTGTGGGTAGTAAAAGATGGAGGGAGATGAAAAATGAAGCCCTTCTCCATGACACTGCTCCAGAGACAAAAGCCCCATTGACTCCCAGAGGCTAGATTGATGGCACAAGGAACCCAAGGAAGGCTCCAGTGATTGAAGGAAATTGAGCTTATTACTCTAAGAATTCAGGGCACCTCAAATTTTAAAATCAGAACGAAAAGACCGGGCTTCCATGCAACTAAGGATCACAGCCTGCTGAGGTCAAGAGAGAGGAAGGTGTAGATAAGAAGACCAGATATTGAACTATTAAGACAAAGTCCTGTCTAGCACACCATTATCAATATTGCCATCACATCATCACACAATGTATGTTAAATCATTATTATGCATGGACTCCAGCCCTGAAACTAAACCCCAAACCTAAGTCTAACCTTCAACTCTAGCCTTAATCCCAATCCTAACCCCAGCCCTAATCCCAAACACTAAGTCTAACCCTCACCACCAACTAACTCCAAATGTTAATCCTAACTTTAATCATAAACCCTCTCCACATGCACACTAATCCCTACCTGAATCCCTAACCTCAACTCTCACCCTAAACCTTATCCCTAACCCTAAACACTAACATTAGTGATAAAATGTACTCTTAGCCCAAAACACTAACTGGCTGGAAAATGCCAGCGTTAGATCTGACTTTAATCCTTGTGTTCACTATGACCATTCTGCACCAGTTACATACTGCAGCCAGCACATGTCTCGAAATCCAACTCCTATAAACAGGTAAGGTATATAGAGGGCCTATGTATGTCAGCCTCCTCATCACAAACTCTTGTCATGAAATAAAACCAAGCATGTAATCTTGAAGATCCCTGGTAGACTCAAAATTAGTTGCAGACTCAAAATTCTTTTCTCTAGGCTTTCCTGACTGTAGCATGTCGCTCACTGTCAGTACATCCAAGACATTCACAGTGATTGGTCAACCAAAGCACCGAGTTGGGAGCCCAACGTTAGCCAAGGAAACCAGAGAGAAAACTTCCTGCAGCATAAAGAGAATCCCAGGAAGACACAGTACCTCTTCTCTGGATGCCATCATTAACCACGACAGCCTTGTATACTCATGGCCACCAACTTGTGCTCTTGAGAAGAGCTGCGCTGACCCATGGAGGATGGAAGAGGAAGAACAGGAAAAAAAATCTAGGTCTTGAGTGAGTCACTGATGTAACCAACTTTGAAGCTCCTAAATTGGGACTTAGGTTTCTCATGGTTCCTAAAGCAGTTGAATTGGGGATTTCTCACTGCAAGCAGTAGAAACCAAAGCAGAAATAAAAGCCAGCGCATGACCAGGGAAGAGAACAGCAGGGAGGCATTCCTGCTTTGCATGTGGGAATGTGCTCCGTGGGCTATTTGACAAGGTCTCCGTGCGGGCCAACGTGCGAAGGGTTTGGACTTTAACCCAGAGCTCAGATTGTGGCAATTTTCTGTTATAGGGAATATATGATCAACCAGG